CAGAGTAGTTCTACCCTATCCTATAGGGTTGCTATGAGTGGCTTTGACTTGGTGGTCATGAGTCTTGTTTTGGGATACCTTCTGCCAGGGTTCCAGAAAAAAGAACTTCTCCTTCAGAAAATGAAGCTACCATGCCACCTCTGTACTGCAAGTCCAGTCCGTGAGAGTGTGCTCTCAATCTGCCTCCACTGAGCCCTGAGATTCATGGCATCGAGGGTTTGAACAAGGGATATATGATTGCTCACATCAGATGGATCTTGATGGAGAGCAGAAAAAAATACCAGAAAAAAGTTTACTTGAGTTTCGTTGGCCATGCAACGGAATTCGAATGTGTGTACCATCATAAAGTAGATATAACCTGGAGATGAGCGGGAGATTCCCAAACACTTCCTGATGCTCTCGTGGCAGACACCAAGAGGCAGTTGTTCAACCAGAGCAAGGGGATATCGCTTCATTTAAGGTTAGGAAAAGGTGTGGGTCAGGGGTGTACCTTTCACCACACTTGGTCTGTATGCTGAGCAAATCCCCTCAGTATAGATTATAACTCAATATAAACAAAAATCCTCACCACCAGACCAATGGATAGTATCATGATAAGCAGAGATAAGCCTCACCAGACCAATGGACAGTATCGTGATAAGCAGAGATAAGCCGGAGATAAGTTGTCAAGGATTTAATCTTCCTTGGAACCAGGAGCAACACCCACGGAAGGAGCAGTCAAGAACATCAAATGTCATGTTTCATTGGGCATATCTGTTGCCCACAGCGTCTTTGAAGCGCTCCAAAGCAAAGATGTCGCTTTGAGGATGAAGGAGCACCTGACCAAGCCGTGGTGTTTTCGTTCACCTCGTGTGCCTGTGAAAGTTGGATAGTGGACGGGGAAGATTTGAGAAGAACCCATGCATTCGAATGACAGGGTTGGCAAAGAATATCCTATGGACGACTGGAAGAACAAACCCAGCTGTCCTGGGAGAAGCCTAGCCGGAGCATCCCTCGAAGTGAGGAGAGCAGGATTCCATCTGCCGGACTTGAAACATGTTATCAGGAGAACCAGTCCTGGGCAGGACACCATTCACGATAAAATGGAGGTGCAGTGAAAACAAGGCAGACTCTCAGTGAGCCGGGTTGACACAGTGGCTGCAACAGTGGCCTTCACCCTAACAGTAGTAGTAAGGAGGGCACAGGACTGGGCGATGTTTCCTTCTGCTGTTCATGGCGTTACTGTGAGTCGGAACTGGCTGAAGGGCACCTAACAGCAGCAGCAAGATGAAAGAGAAGACAGTCTGTCCATTTTCTCCCGTGTGGAAACTCTGGAAGCAGGCAGCCCAGGGCTGGTCCATGCCCCAGGCTCTTCTTGCTTCCATGGATGTAGTACTTCCTGATCCCGAAGGAATGCTGGGGGTCCTGCCATCAGGTCTACATTCCCGCTCCCTGGGAGGAGGATGTGCTGGCAGGCCTTTCCTTTAAGGACATGATCTTGGGAGGTGCATCTCTCTGTAGTCTATGAGCCACAGGCTGCTACCTAGGTGCCAGGGGGAGAGCAAAGGTATCTTTATTGCCAGGGGCTTTGTGTTCCTCTGACAAGCTTAGGTCTTGATCTTATGTCAGAAGGAGAGACCGGGGTGGGGACCACCAGCCAACTCTGCCCAGTGGGGCTTAGGAGCCCTGCCCACTCCACCTGCCTCGGTTCTGGAGAGCTCGCACTCTGCCGCAGCCACACTCATCCCCCAGTGCGGCAGTGTGCACGTTTGCCTCCTCCCTCTCCCGACCATTAGACCGTTGATGTCGACCCGTGGCAGCCTCAGACGTGTCAGGGGCAGCACTCTGCTCCCCCGGGTTGCTCTGGGATCACGCGTGTATGGTCTTCTGTGAGTGGTCTCTTGCACCTGCAGAACGCTCAACAGTTCCACAGGATTTCAGTGACTGTTTTTCAGAAGTAGATCCCCACCCAACCAGGCCTTTTTTCTTTGGCACCTCTGGGTGGACTTGACCCTCCCATCTCTGGGTGAGTGGAAAGTTGATGTGCTACTTCTTTGCACCATTCAGGGACACCTCCCTCTCCCTCAAACACAAAACAAAACACCCACTTTACGGTCATCGAGCCAATTTTGACTCACACCGACCCTATGGGACAGGATAGAACTGCCCCTGTGGGCTTCTGAGACTATAACTCTGTATGGGAGTAGAAAGCCTCCTTTCCTCATACCCCTCTCCCTTGGACAGTGGTTTTCAGACCTGGGAAGTTATTCGAAATGCAGGTTCTCCTAGTCTTGCTGAGTGAGCTGCTTCGGGGATGGAACTTGGGAATGAATGTATATCTCAGGAAATCATCAATGATCTGGGTGCCTGATCACGTTTGAGAAACGGTGGCCTAGACCATGTCTCTCCACATCACCTGGCTTAGCCTTGCTTTCCTTTAATCTTCCAGTCTGGGGGTCTCTGGACTCCCACAGCCCCCATCACCCTTCACCTCTGTCTAAGAGCAGCAATCACTCTCGTTTGACAGTTACTTGTCTGCCCTCTTGTGGGCTGGAGCATCCCGAGGGCGAGAACACTCCCTACCTAAGACCACTGTGGTCCGCTGCACCCGCCTGGGGCAGCTCCCCGGGGCTGACTGAGCGGCTGGATGCAATCGCATCTCTGCAGCATCTTGGAAAGTGCTAGAATTCATTCGGGCTGTTTTGCTTTCCTTTGAATTGAGGATGAAGCTTTGTTTCCAGTTTGTTTAAATGGTACAATAAAGTACACCCCCCAAGGAAAATGATATAGTTGACTCCCACTGTAGATTTAATTTTTTGAATAGAAAATTAAATTAAACATCCACGTTGTCGAAAATTGGAACATGATAAAAGTAAAAGTCTACTCGGTCTGACTGAGGGTCACTGTAGATGAGTCCTTTTCTTGGCTGCAGGCCTGTCTGTGAAGGTGGTGGAGTATACAGGAGGCAAGGTTATGGAAACGGATGAGACATGAACACACTTGAGGGAATGAGGATGTGCCCCTGGGGGCTCCGAGCTGTAGTCTCCAGGGGCACCAAGGTCAAGTGTAGAATGCAGCTCACAAAGATAATCTTTTACATCCAGCTTTGGTGAGTAGCAGCCGGAGTCTTAAAAGCTTGTGGGTGGCCGTCTGAAAGGCAAATTATTTGTTTCTCCCCACCTGAGGGCAAGAAAAGTGACGAACATCAAAAAGATACGTGGCAACAGTGAGTCCAGTGGCTGGTGAACCACACAAGCATCTGTCTCCACAACGACACTGAGACCGGAAGAACTAGATGGTGCCCACCTGCCCCCCCACAGCTTCTCTGTCAAGGGTCACACTAGACGGTCCTGGATTAATAAATAAGAACAAGAGGAGGAGGAGGAAGGAAGGGAGGGAGAATGGACAAGGATACAGTGGAAGAAGATTGTGGGACAGATCTCAAAATCACAAGAGCCCAAGCTGCTTGGTGGGATACGAGCTGGTGGAAGCGTGCAGGATGATGGCCTTAGACCCCCTTCAGGTCTGGAACCGAACGCAGCCTCTTGTTGGGATAATCACGCGTTGAAGCTCAACAGGGAAGCTTTTACCCAAGAACGGAGAGTGAGGAAGGAAGGTCGGCGGGATAGGATATGGAGGGGATTGACCGAAAGGGATGGATTGAAACAACAGGAGTGTGAGTTATTGAATGCCAGACTGGTGATTTGCCCTGTAAACCAAACTCACTGCCATCGAGCCCATGCTGGCTCACAGGGGAGAAGTGGCCCGTGGGTTTCCAAGACCGTCACTCTGTACAGGACAGACAGCCTCATCTTTCTCACACTCAGGTACAAGGGGGCTTCCTAGAAGTATAGGACTATGGTGGGGGGAGAGGGGACCGATGGGAGCTGATATCAAGGAGTTCAAGAAGAAGGAAAACGTTTTGAAACCGATTGTGGCAGCAGTTGTACAATACTGCTCGATGTGATTGAGTGGTGAAATGTTATAGCTGTAAGAGCTCCCAATGAAACGATTTAAAAAAAAAGCTATAGGAAGATAACTAGAAAATAGTGAACCTTTTCCATGAGTTTTTTTAAATCCCTTCTTATAAGCAAATATTTTCTTCAGCTATGTAATTTCAACGTTAAGAGTATTAAAGATGCATAATTGTTGTGTTACTTTTTTCCTGTAATATGCCTGGGAGGTAAGTGCACATCACTATAGAGAGAGCTTCCCGGCCCCTTTTCAGGGCCATGTGATAGTCCACAGGATACGCCCCGTGGTGTTTTGCTCAGCCCTCTCTGCTGGGCATTTAGGGGCCCCTCCTGTCTGCTGCCGTTAGACACAGGCTCTGATGGACAGCCCTCTACAGACTTGATTTGGTGGGGGAAGCTTAAGCCGCTCAGTCTTCAGAGTAGAACAGACAAGGGTGTTTGCGTTTCTCACTTTGAGACACGCCCTCCATTGTGGCCATGCCAGTGTAGAGTGGCCTTCGGACAGCCCCGTTTTACCCTCTCTCTCGACTTCTTTCTAGATGCGAGCCACCCCTCTGGCTGCTTCCCGGAAGAAGCGGTTAGAATTGGACAGTGACCTAGATGCTGAATGCCCCACCCGGAAACAAGCTCGAAACCAGCCCCGTCCCTGTCTGCCCCCGTGCCTGCTGCCTCGGAGCCCAACCCCGGACCCTGACCCTGCACCTGCTGAGGCCCCTGTCTCCCGGCTTGGGCCCTATGTCCTCCTGCAGCCCGAGGAGGGTGGGCGGGCCTTCCGAGCCCTGCACTGCCCCACAAGCACCGAGTACACCTGCAAGGTACCGTATGGCCCCAGGGCCCAGCCTCCCCGGCATGACGGAGCTCTGTCTGTGGAGGGTTTCCAGGGGACGGGACACCCTGCTATTCGATTAATTATTTTGTTAAGTTGGAAACAGCTCCGGTTCCCTGTCAAGCGCTGGGCTAAGCCAAGATCAGGAAGCAGCTAGCTCCTGGAGAAGGTGCTAAATGCTGAAGGGTCCAGGCCAGGGGGCTGGGGCACAGAGACATGGCTAATGTGTTCTAGGGAGCAAGGCGGGTGGGTATTGGCCAGGCAGATGCAGGGGTAAGGTATTTCCAGTCGGGCACAGCAGTGCAAAGGCCCAGAGGTGAGTGAGCAGGGAGCTGCAGGAAACTCCTGGGACGGTGGCTAGTGTGCCCAAAGGGCAGGAGGGGCTTGGTGGCCGCTGGCTTCTCCTGGCTCATGGGGCACCACTTGAAGGTGTTTGTCTAGGCTGACCTTAGCAATAGCTCCAACTTGGTTCCACCCTGCCGAAGGAACGCCAAAATATTTAAAAAAAACAAACAAACCCAAAAATCATGACTATAGCGTGGATTCTGACTTGCCGCCTCCCCGTAGGACAGAGTAGACTGCTCCCCAGGCTTCCTGAGATGGTACATCTCCATGGAAGCAGGGTGCCTCGGCTTTTTCCGTGGAGCAGGCAGCTTCTGGGCCCCAACCACCAACCTCGAGGCTTGACGCCCGGTGCTCACCTTACCGGACCTCCCGGGGGTCCCGCCTGTAGGTTTTCCAGCGCGTCTCCTGCTGCCATGAGGCCGTCGTCTGGTCAGTGTGCAAGAGCTCTGGGGAAAGTCTGAAGGATTCTGAGAACGACCAGCGGTGACTCAGAGCCGCCTGCTGTGAGCGTGTGGAAAATGGCGCCGATAGCCTTGCTCAAGGCAGGGTCGCCACGGGCTTTGGATCTGCGGCAAACGCACCAACTCACAAAAACGCGCGCTAAAGCACAGTCCACTGAACATGTGCCCATGTCTGGGAAGGGCGAGGGACCTCAGGATCCTTAAGGTCACTGGGTCTGACTCCTGACGTTTGACAGATGGGGAGACAGGTCAGGAGAGACCCTGTGTGTGAAGCATAGGGCACCAGCCCTGCCTCCACGGGCACATCCTGTTGTGTGGCGTCAAGTCCACTCCGACCGGCAGGGGTTCCAGGCTCCGTAGGGCTTGACGGAAGCAGATCATTGGGCCTTTTCTCTGAAAGGGCCGCTGGGTGGGTTTGAACCTCGAAACTCTTGGCTGAACACTGAACCATCAGGCTTCCTTAGGGCAAAGCTAGGGGTGGTGGTGAAGGTCGAGAGGTCTGAAGATTCTGGGCAGGATTGGTCATGGGCAGGGGCAGGGCCTTCTGAGGGTCAGGCTTTTGGTCAGGCTGCTGTCAGGTCGTAGCCCAAAAGGACAGAGATGAGACTCAGACGGATGAACAAGGGGCACTTCCTGCTCAGATTTTGACCTCGTGTCCATAGAGCTCCTAGTGCATCCCCAGCCCCCTTCGCCCCCTGCCCCCTCCCCTCCGTCTCCCCTCAGCCACACCCGGCTCAGCACCTTGGTGCTGCCCATGCCTCCCCACCTGGACAGCCCGTCCTGTGGACTGGACCGCACTTTCTGAAACAGCTTCATCTTGAACATCTTTCTGGGTTCCTTTGCTCCCTTCAAAATGGGTGGGTATTCAGTCCGGTGAGCGTGTCCGGCTTCTCCTGGATGGGTGTATCACAGGCCTTTCTCTGAAAGAGCCCCTGCGCGGATTTGAACCTCCCTGCTGTGGGCCAAACAGGAGCCCCAGGGGCAGAGACAGCTGGGTGGTCCTTGCATTCGAATGAGGGGAAGCGCTGCCCGCTGAGGACGCCGAGTGACTGACATTGGGATTGCCCAAGCTGGCTTGGCGAGTGGCGTTTCCGTTTGGGTGGACGATCGGTTTTCAGTGATGTGAAGTTTCAGGCTCTAAAAGGCCGTGGTCACAAGGAGCCCTGGTAGCATGGAGGATTAGGCACTGGGCTGCTTCAGCACAAGCTCCGCAGTCCACCCTGCAGGAGGAAGAGGAGGAAGCCAGTGTGAAACCCATGGCAGGGAGCTGTCTGGGGTTCAGGGTAGGAGTTGAGCACAGAGACAGTAAGTTCAAGTCCCGAAGGCCGTGTGGCCTCTCTACTCCCAGACCGGTGGCTCACGGTCCTTATCTCGCTGGGTGGAATGGCTTAAACCCTGAATGGCCTGTACCCAGTGCCTAGCCCTGCAGTAGGTGTCTGAAGAGTCGCTGTGACTATGCCAGGGCCCAGCCCCAGCTCCAGGGTCCTCACCTCCGCTCCTACCACCCTCTGTCCACAGGTGTACCCGGCTCGAGAGGCCCTGGCCGTACAGGAGCCCTATGCCAGGCTGCCCCCTCACGAACACGTGGCGCGGCCTGCCGATGTCCTGGTGCGCAGCCAGCTCCTCTACGCCTTCTTCCCGCGTCCCTGGGGGGACATGCACAGCCTGGTGCGCCGTCGCCGCCGCCTCCCTGAGCCCGAGGCTGCCGGACTGTTCCGGCAGATGGCCACCGCCCTGGCTCACTGCCACCAGAACGGCCTGGTCCTGCGGGACCTCAAACTGCGCCGCTTCGTCTTCACCGACCCAGAGAGGTGAGTGTGACGGCCATGGAGACTCACTCTCCAACAGGCGGGCGTGGACGGGGTAACCCGGGGCCCAGGAAGACAAAGTAACTTAAGGCAAAAGCCTAGCTCCCCGGGAGAAGTTGCCCCCACTGCTGAGGCAAGTCCTTGGGCCGAGCCATGCGGGGTCATCACAGGAGCTGACCGCCCTGAAGGGTAGTACTGCCCTCCCTGGTTGGCTGGATCCTGACCCATCTGTGGTGGGTACTGGTTGTGTCCCCATATGATAGAAGAGGGGACTGAGGCCCAGAGAGGTTAAGTTATCTGTCTAAGGTCCCACAGCTGAGTGGTCAAACTGGGACCCCAATCCAGATCTGACTTTGCAGCCTGAGTGTTAATTTGAGGTGAGCTTAAGACACAGGTGCCCAGAAGCCTGCCAGGGTATTTTGCTGACTCGGGGTGTCTGTACCTCAGTTTCCCTCTTGGGAGTGGAAGGGGCTGGACACTCAGGATGCCTCCAGGATTCCGGATCGACAGACCGCAGCCAGAGTGGGCTGAGAGCTTCCAACCCACATGAGAGCAGTTTCCGTGGAGCTGAGAATCAATGGGTTTTCATGAAAGGAGTGCGAACTCCCCACTCTTCTTGCTGGGGTTGGGGGGCGGGGGGAGGGCAGGCTTTAGCCAGACTGGTCAGGCCTCTGGGGTGTGTGTGTCAGAGCTGCCCGGGTCACACTGATGCCCAGTTCAAGTCCACGTTCTTTTGCAGGGAGAGGACGGTGGCCCCGTGGCCTTTTTCAAGCGTTTTATTTTGAAGACATTTTAGACTTCCAGAGAAGTTGCACAAAGAGCTCAGAGCGCCCCTCTCTCCCTCCCGGGGTTCTTCTGTTGTAGACATCTCCTGTAACCATAATGCCGTGACCGTCCCTGAGAGGGTGGCCAGAGCCTGCTGCTGCTGCCCCGGAGCCCTGGTCGAGCCCGGCGGTTCAGCACCGGGTGGCTAACCCACAGCCCAGCAGTTCCCACCCACCAGCCACTCCGCCAGAGAAAAGTCTTGGCTTTCTGCTCCCATAAAGATGTACGGCCCTGGAAACCCCTGGGCCTTTCCACTCTGATCTTCAGGGTCACGGTGACCCACTGGCACATAGCACCACCACCACCAC